ATAAACATATAAATAAAAGTAAAATAACTAAACAAGTAAAATATTCCGCTTTGTGGACATATGTATTACTTGTTCACAATGCCAAAATCGTATATTTTCTATAGTCGTACCTACCATACCTAACCTAACCTACTTAAAAGACGATGTAAACATATTACTCGCAACGTGTCATGATTGATTCTATAAGAAATACGAACGTATAAATAAAAATTAGTCAAATTTATTAAAGACATGTAGACACGTGCCCGTCTACAGTTTTAATATCCGAAAAATGTAAAATATATATACATCTTTATGAGATTCAAATAGTGGATAAGTACATTGAAAATTCAAAAGAGCGTTGTATTCAAATCATAACAAGCACCATTATACCGTTCCAATTTCCACCATTCTCTATTGTAAAACTATAAATAGCACTAGCGATATCAAGGATACAAAGCACAACTGTTACAATTGTTTACGAAAGAGGATACTGGCACTGAGCAGGTGTATCGATTTTGGTTTCTCGATATCAACAACTTGATATGAGTGCATTTCCCGACCTAAACTTTACGTCAACATGCTCACTTGTAGGATATACGAGGGTGCGTTTTTAAGTTCGCGAAATGGGTAGGTAGATCATTAGTGAGGGTATTTACTCTAGTCATTACGAATTAAGCAACTCATTATTAGTATAAATACCAAGTTTTATCGTAATTAGGTTCTTAGTCTTTGAACTATCGTTGGTCAAACAAGTCAATCTGGAACACATTGTGAAATGTGTAGAAAATCGAGTACCAAGCTATTATAAAGTTTATTACCAAGTAATAAAAATCAGTTGAAACCATACTGAAATAGATGTCATCTGTTTACGGGACTCTTGCCCAGGTAAAACTATGGTTTACAAGTGACATACCCTCTTTAAACAAGACAGGGACTCACTTGAAGACGACCCACGGTCAAGCTGCCCGGTCAGGGTGACCACTCTGGAAATCATTGAAAAAGTCGAAAAATTAATAGTAGAAGATGCCCTACTTTAGAAGAAACAACTCGCAGAAATGGTAGGAGTCTCAGGTACAACCACTTTTAAAATTCTTCACGATTATCTTGGAATTACTAATCAGCGCAAGATGGGTGCGCCGAGTATACTCACTCCGCCTCAAAAACAACAGCCCGTGGAGTGTTCTCGTGCGTTTTTGGACCTCTGTAGTGAAGATAAAGATGGAGTATTAACTCAAATTGCTACCGGGGAGGAAACTTGGGTTCATCATTATGAACCTAAGTTCAAACAGGACTCTATGCATTTGCACAAAAAGGTACACCACCACCCAAGAAGTTTAAGGTGTCATAGTCGGCTGAGAAAATCATGAAAATCAGGGCGGAAGTGTTTTGGGACTCAGAAGGGATCCTGTTGATTGATTATAAAGATAAAACTGTCTCCATAACCGGAGAATACTATGCTTTAATACTAGAACGGTTAAAGGAAGCAGTCAAAGAAAAAAGAAAAGGAAAATTAACCAATGGTGTCTTCCTTCTACACGATGACGCGCCTGTTCACAAAACCGTGTTGCGCTGGCTGTAGAAGGCGGGCTTCGAAATTTTGGCTTACCTACCCTACAGTCCTGACCTAGCTCCCAGCGATTATTACCTATTCCGAAACATGAAAAAAAGTCTTCGTGGGAAGAAATTTTCAAGCGACGATGAAATGAAGGATGCAGTTTCGACGTATTTTTCGACAAAGCTAAAACATTTTCTTTTTTCGAAAATGTACGTAAGTTAATTGAAAGATCGGAAAAATGTATAAGGGTAACAGGTGAATATATTGAAAAGGAAAATTAAATTCGTATTTTTATTTCCACTTTTTACCTTCCATTGTTCTATGTGTTACAGTATGGCTGCAACAATAACTGCAAATGTGAAATATACCCATATAATAATTATTCCACACAATACAATATCCGTCTATTCAAACGCCATATTTTAATTAGAAAATACGACAAAGTACAGCAAGTAGATATCCATATATTTAAATGGACTTTGCTGAAGCATACGTAATCCTGAAATGTAGCACTGTACTACAGATGGCGTTTACAGCGCCATTTGTCGTATTTTCTAAAACGCGCTGTTAAGGCAGCAGGTAAAAGTTGGTCTGTGTTCTATCGGAGCTGCCTGCGACGCGCTGATGAGATCCAAAAAGATCGAAATCGCGATCCGCGTCTGACAGTTTCGACAGAATACAGACCACTTCGAATTATTTTATTTAAACAAAGGTACATTTTTAATTAAGTATAAATTTTAACACAGATAACAATCAGTTGAATAAAACATACGCCGAGAAACTATATCAGTCGGATTTATATAATAGTCCAAGATCCCACAGCCGTCAGATATTACTTATTTTCTGGGTAACAAAATGGGTGGGATCTATCTATCACCTCTGGACGATAGTATTAGATATATACTTTGAACATATGTTCGCAGAATATTGATCATAAACACTGCCAGACAGTTCCAGTCTACGGTAACTTCTGCCAGACGCATCAAAGTTCACAAATATGATCGTAATGTTACTTATGGTCTGAATCTCCATTTTTAAATATGATACATAGGGAACTATTTCAAGAATTTTCGTAAGCAGCCAGTTCAATTATGGAAACCAAACATACCCCAAACACAATTAAAATGTCGTTGTGTTACAAAGCCATCTATTTTATCACACTAGCGCTTATACTCACAGCGACATTTTAGTTAAGGTGTCTGGAGTATGTTTGACTAACCTAGATCAATGTAGGGATCGGTAATTTTGAATCATGTCAGTCAGGTTAATTTATTAGGACATTATTTGGGAAAGTGCTTGAAGGCCTTTGAACTGGTCTATCCAGGGTTCCGGAGGTGGAAGGCAAATAAAAATTCCCGTCGAGCAACTCAAGGCGGGTAGCTAGTAGCACGTGGTATTAGTATGTACGGTAGGTGAAGTGCCTGGACATCACCCAATTAGCTTACAAGAAACATTTTATAGAGCCGTCCAACCTTCAACAGAAAAGTCTTCCAAGGTCGTCAAAACGAGGATGCTGTTCGAGCTCCTAATGAAAACAATACCCTACTGGACCAATTAGAATAGTACCAAAGAGTGATAAATTATTTCATAAATATCAAATAAAATGTTACAATTGTTATAATTATTATAGCGAAACCAATTCTTCAAAATATAAGGCAAACAAGACCGAATGGGTTTACCTAGACATACCGGTTGTCGTTAGCGTAACGAGTTTACCCACAATAAACCCTACGTTCATCCTGGGGCCTCTCGAGTAACCACTAAATTTGTAAATATTCTAAATACTTATTATCTTATATTATTATCTTTCAATTTTTTTCTGTTCTATCGTCTTTTTCTATTCTTTTAAACTCACATTTAAGGAAGCGTTTCCCTTAGGGTCTCGTCCCTATTATTTTTTTTATATAGTATTTAGAAGTAGCATTTTTGTTTGGCCCGGTCAACTTATCTTCGTTAATTTTCGACGTAGAACCACGATTTTTTTTTTAACCCCACCTAGCCACACACGGAGATTCCAGTTCCGGCGTCAATTTTTTAGTTCTACTTCAGGAAGGTAGTTTTATGGAAATTAGGTTTTCATCTCAATTTGCGCCCTTTCTGCTACCACCCCACTTTCAACCCTACCTTTTCATCCCCTCCGAAGTACAGGGGTCTGTATAAAAATGCAAACCCCCGAAGTAAGAGGAATTCCGACATTCCACCTACCCAGGCAAGGAAAAGGGAATCAAATCGTGTCAACTAGGCTTACTCATCCGCAGTCCCTGTGAAAAGTGCTTCTCGTTTTACCGCCAAAACCGTAAGTCTCACCCGTTACGCTCACCATTGTTTTATTTCCTTCGCGCATTGTGTTTATTTGGACTCATTCATCTTAGTTATAGGAATTTGTATTATTCTTGTTGTTTTGGTCTTTTGTCTTCTTGTCCTGTCTATTTGTATTTTTTCTGTCAATTGATGTTTGTTTGTTCGTAGTAGTTAGTATATATGTATATATGTTTTAAGCTCTCGGCTTATATAGATTCGTAAATGTGTTTTTTTGTCAAATGTTTTTTTGTTGTAATTACTTTATACACTAGGTGTTAATTAAATTTTTTGCTGTAAATAAAGTGTTGTNATTTGGACTCAATCATCTTAGTTATAAGTATTTGTATTATTCTTGTTTTGTCTTTTGTCTTCTTGTCCTGTCTATTTGTATTTTTCTGTCAATTGATGTTTGTTGTTCGTAGTAGTAAGTATATACGTATATATGTTTAAAGCTCTCAGCTTATATGGATTTTTAAATAATGTGTTTTTTTTGTCAATTGTTTTTTTTGTTGTAAATACTTTATATATTAGATGCTAATTAAATTTTTTTGTTGTAAATAAAGTGTTGGTATAACGCGAGTGTGTATCACAGAGGTAATACACAATACAAGAAGTAAACGGAGAAAATCTTGAACAAGGAAATTAACGTTACTTACTAAAACTTGAAATTGCAATACTCTAGCATTGTATATAGAAATATGAAAAGTATTTTTAAAACATTAATTCGATACGCGAAAAAGTATCAAAGGACCGTCTGTCAAGTCTCCGTCTGTTTGACTCTATACCCACAAACCACTCAACAGTTCATATTAATCAAGTCAATCAATCATCGGTCCTCTCGTCACGAAAGGTCGGAAGAAGATGCTCGATCTCCGGGGCCTTATTGAGGTTTGTCCTCTGGCATCAACATGAGAACGACCAATCAGGAGACGAAATCCGTAACAAGGCCTTATTTGGAGAGCAAACGTCAGTAAAATTTGCTTAAACACTTAATAACGCCATTACATGCATAGTCCCTTAGGTGCCGCCATATAGAATCTATACTGTATTTTAAAATGCAAAAAATTTATTAATTTCGGAAAAGATAAAAACACTTTTAATTGAAATAATTCGAAGTGGGTGATAAATGACTTGATTGACACCAGAAACTTTGAAGAAAATNTAAATTGCCTTGTAAAGCAATGATCGATTTTGTCCAATTTGACAAAAAACTTGAAAAAGATAATTCATTCCAGAAAAAAATTGTGAGTACTATATTTTTAAATGCTTTTATAATCATCAATTTTAAATACTAAATACAAAATCATACTTTCAGGCACAAAAATTGTTTCTGAAGATAAACAAACGTACACCCATAACTAAAAATTTCGCCGAATTATTAAGATACTGTATATCTCGTGATGTAGGTCTTATGTTTGCTCCACTGAGAGCTTCAAAAACAAAAAAACACGTGTTTAAGGAAACGACTCTTTATAAAGTTATAAGGGGTAATAATAATTAATTTCATTATAGGAAATGATTAAGAATAATAAAAAAAATTTTCTTAGCAACGCTTAGAAAAGCGTTTTGGAAGCCAGGAGAAGATATTCCTGACCAGGATATCATAGATGCCTTAAGTTCAGCATTGCATAATTGCAAAGATTGGGATGGGGGACGAACCGCTCGTTCTAAAAAGACAGTTCAAGCTGATACTGAAGTACAACATCATGGATATTGATAAAAAAATGGTTTATCTTAAAGTTAGTGATGAAAGTAAAGAAATAATATGTGTTATGCCATTGCTACATATGTAAAAGCGAACAGTGTGAACGTTTTTTATTTTGTAGTTTGTCTTTTGTTTAGCCGGCTTTAAAAACGCGATACTCATTATCTTATCTTATATACGTTTTTAAACTATTCTGTTCTGTGAAGTGCATTGTTTATATTTTTCAGCGGATGTTGAACAGTATAGAAAGCTTTTTGTCTAGCCCAGCAACCCAACATTAAAAATTATTATTAACATGCACATAAGATTACTAGTTTAATTTCTGAACTCACCTTTCAGTCCAAGTTACCTCAGTCATTAGTTGATAATAATTTTTTTTAGTGCAATAACTATTGTAAAAGTTGGTCGCCATGAATACTCACAGTAACGTATCTGAAACGGTTGCGTTGTCGTTTTTATTAGTAAAAAAGGAAAAAAGAGATTGACAGTGCCTTCGTTTTGGATATTTTATGATGAAAAAATGATGTGAACCGCCAATCGACAGTTGGCCAGATTACTTAGTAGACGTCAGAGGCCAGTAAGTAGAAAATTTTATATTATTATTTTTATTACGAATTTGTGTACTTGGTGAGAACGTCAGATAAATAGAACATTGCCATAGGGAGGTTATTGTAATGGGTGCGATAAATATGTAATTGTTTTCAGTACCAATTAAGCATTAATATTTACAATCAAAAAATACACACATGCATCACAAAAATAATTTAAACATATCCCCTTAGTTAAACATAAGAATGTTTTTATTTTTTCATAAATACCGCTCTCCTTCCTATTCGAAAGTTATTCGTGTGAACCTAAAAAGTCGCACCCCACGACTTATTATATTGTATTTTTATTTTTGTTGTAACTAGTTGAACTGTAGCGGTAAAACATCATTAAAATTAATTTTTATATCCGTTTTTGTTGAATTTTTAATATTACTATTGTTTTGTAAATATTCTTCTAAATCTATTTGTAGGCTTACAACTTCCAGAAATTATTGGGATGTTGGGTAGATGGTGACGTAAGAGAGCTCAAACTTAGCAGTACGTGCAAGTCACGATTGGCTAATANTACCTGCTGTCTTAACACTGCGTTTTAGAAAATACTACAAATGGCGCAGTAAACGCTATCTTCAGCAAGTAGATAATCCACACAAGTGGACCTTGTTGGAGCATACGTAATCCTAAAATGTGGCATCGTGCTGCAGATGGCGTTCACTGCGCCATTTGTAGTATTTTCTAAAACACTTTTAATTAATGGAAAGTTATCATTAATGGTTACACCATTTGTTAATCCGAAATGAATTAAAATTATAATTCCTAATTCTGAATTTGTTTTTGATTAACCAAATATCAAATAAGAGCAACAGCTTATCATAATGCACTTATAGGATGATCGAACAGATTCATTGACAGTGTAAAATAGCAATTTCGTACCACGAGACTCTTTTATGTGATCAACCCCATCCCACCGCCCTTTGAGCAAAACTTTCAGCGTGGAAAGATTTATAGGACACCGCAGCTGAAATGTTATATGGGTAAACACTACACCACATTTCCGGATGAAAACATTACAACATCAAGGGAATTCGTCAAAGGCCTGCGGCTACACATCCCGGAATTGAGATCCAAAGCGGGAGATACGACGTCACGGTGAAAAGAAAACATTTGTTTTCCAAGATTTAAACACCACTCAGCAAGTAATATAACAACAACAACATCTATGATAACACTCTTCACATGACTATATATAGGGAAGGCAAAATATTCACCGAGCATAGAAATTGCACATTTCTTTTGTTTTTTATGCCGCAGGAACGGAAAAGCGCAGAATATGTTTTCTTTGAAACTACGGCATGGCCTAGAGGTTTAGACCATTGCTTAGCATTCGGGAGGACGTCGGTTCGATTCCGGGCCCGTCTGCCTTGGTCCAAGTTTTTCTGTTGTTTCCTTGGATCACTTAGGCAAATGCTGAGGCAGTCATATTTCACAGATAATCTTTCATTCTCTTCTGTCTTCATTTCGTCCGTCTCATCTTTCTCACCCGAACCACCACCCAACCAATCCCACTATTCCTGAAAGCAGGCTGAAGAGGGCCTTCCACCCTACCGTCCGGCGTAGTCCGGAGGGACTGCTCGCCCACCAACATTACTGGCTGGTGGGAATGAAACACCCAAAAGAAAAAGTTTTTTGAAACTACCACCTGCTTCTTTGAAAACTGCCCTAAACCAATTGAACTCTCAAAATCCTTTAAATAAATCGTAACACCCGTCTATAGTTTTACAATGCATTTATTGGACCCTACACCTGCAGGAGGTGATAGAGCACTATAAAACATGAAAATTACATAAATGTTTGTATGTCCCAAAATTTACCGTCTTGGAGAAAAACGCAACTGAATGTACAGGTAAATTCAATTCCGGCCCTGGTAATTACGGCCCGCAACGTGCACTCAGTTAATCGATGATTACCAGCATCAATGTAGTATTTGAGTTGGGGTTATTATATTCTTTGTGTTCTTCTATATCATGATAGTATATGTATATGACGATTATGATGGTATTTTGCATTAAAGTTGTTCAGAGACCGTTCTTCGTTTTGCAGGCCATAAAATTCCTGCATACAATTTTTAGAATACTTTGCAAACCTACAAGGCGGTGTTGTGTTTATTTGAGAGTAGACCCTTCGAGGATGGGTAGATAAATCAGTTAACTACTTAAATTAGTTTATAGGGGTAACGGTTTAAGAAGGATCCTTTATGATCCCTAATATAGTTTCATTTTTATTATGGGGTGTTTATTTTATGAGTTTAACGTTTAGAAAGTCCCGTTTGTTAATANCTTAGGGACCCTACCTGCACCCCCCTCAAAATTCTAGTCGGGTTATGATTTTATTCTTTGGAAATTAAGGGATTTGCTCCTGAAAATCAGAAGAACGAAAACTGCTAAAAATAGAGTTCTATTTGGACCCTTCGGGTGCCGAACATTAAATCGATATGATTAAAAGTCAAATCTGTAAGTTGTTCATTATTGACCATCGGATTTAATGAATGGCGTCTATATTACGATCACATTTCTTAATTAAAACGAGCCATGCAATAATTTATAGCGCGCTTCATTATGTGTAGGTATAATGCATCATGAAAAGCGTTTATAATGTAATAGTTACTTAAAAAAGACAAAAATAAAAATCGATAATGCGATGTTTTAGTCGATTTTATTAAATTACGCACAGGTGCGGGCGAGCAATTTAATTGAAGCATAATCGATAACTAACCTATCTATTGTTGTCACTTTCATAATACCTAAGGTCATATTCATATTTATCACGAAAATAAAGATAAGGCGTTTCATTCTTTTTTTATTCAAAAATACACAATTTTAATGATTGTTAATACTTTCATTTCTTTATGGATTGAATCTGGTGGTAGATATGCTGGGGCTTGTTTCTCGGCAAAGAACAAAATAACTGATAAATTGTCTCTTGAAAGGACCCCGCTAGATCCTTACAAACAATGGCCCTCTGTCAATCTCTTTGAAACTTTGGAGACCCTTAAGGTTGCATTCTTACATAAGGACTTCCAAGGTACAACCATGTAGAAACTGCCAGAGTTGACGATCGTGTGATCTTTGTTCCAACATTGGATTGCGCAACTTTGACTGAATGGAGTTTATCCAAGGTTGGACCAAGTTGGGCATTCAATTGATATACGAAGAATGGGTAGTCTTCTCTGTCCCAGATATGGACCAAAGTTGGCTATATTACCTTCGGCTGATTAACCTTGGGGCTGCTTTAATTGATTTTAAGTTTGGCAGAAGGTTGGTTGTCACTAGGGCAACTTTGGCACATCTTGGGGTTTACCGTTGGTCCAAGGTTGTATGCCAAGTCAGACCCAATGTTATCACTCGGTAGTTCAACCATATCTGGGCCAGAGTTGTAATTCAAGTTTGTCCCAGAGCTCATGACTGGCAAGTAAACTTTGGCCCACATCTAATCCAATCGTATTTTCGTACATGGGTATCTATACGTATTGAACACGTTCAAGTATGTATACTGTGTGCGTTCCATTAATATAAACATTAAATAATTATTGTCATCATAAAGTCGTCAAAAAAAAAAAAAGAAAAGGTTAGAAATGAAGAGGTATTGGAAGGAATAGGAGAACAGAGGACTCTATGAAAGTCAATAAAAAATAGGCGAGATAGGTTGGTAGGACACGTTCTCAGGCATGAGACATATTAGAGGCAGAAACAGGAGTTAGGAGGGGTAGAGGTAGACCTAGATTAGATTACTGTTCGCAAATAGTTAAGGATGTGGGCTGTTCTAGTTTTAGGGAAATGCGAAGTTTAGCTCAGGATAGGAAAGAGTGGAGGTACGTGTCCAACCAGTCTTAGGACTGATGACCTTATGATGATGATGATGATGATGATGATGATGATGATGTATGCTCAGCTTAGGGAGTAAATACACCAAAAAACACAATCAAATTGAGAATATCCCTTTTATGAAGTCGATTTTATCAATCAATGATTTTCTATTCTTCTCCCAATTTCACAATTTATCAGGCACGAAGGTCTAGTCAAAGATATATTAGAGGCAGAAACAGGAGTTAGGAGGGGTAGAGGTAGACCTAGATTAGATTACTGTTCGCAAATAGTTAAGGATGTGGGTTGTTCTAGTTTTAGGGAAATACGAAGTTTAGCTTAGGATAGGAAAGAGTGGAGGTACGTGTCCAACCAGTCTTAGGACTGACGACCTTATGATGATGATGATGATGATGATGATGATGATGAAGGTCGTCAGTCCTAACACTGGTTGAACACGCACCTCCACTCTTTCCTATCCTGAGCTAATCTTCATATTTCTCTAAAACTAGAACAACCCACATCCTTAACTTAACCTTCATGCATGAGAAAGTGTCCTACCAACCTATCTCGCCTATTTCTTATTGACTTCCGTCCTCTGTTTTCC